GTTTTACACAATCTAATACCTGAAACGTTTAGACTAGATTCAGGAAAACTCGAAAAAAAAGATATATATATATGTATATAAAAAAATAAAATTTTATTAAAAACTTTCAACATAGTCTTTCCCTTCCTTTCTCGATCACAATGCTCCGAACGTTCTTTCAACCGTTACACACAAGGAAAGGTTTTCTTCAAATTAAATAACTTATGCATTGGAATAATCCAACCAAATGGATGTTTAAATTAAGAATATGATTATTTGCATTAAAATTAAATTTTTGTAATTAAACAAAATATGTTTCATTTAAAATTACATTTGATTCAATAAAACATAAATAGAACTCATTCTCGCGTGGATACAAACTAATCTTTTTCTCTGTGTAGAAAAGTTATTGCAGTACTTATTTTTCAAAATGCCCTTCAATACGCTTATCACATTAAAAGTTTCTTCAAGCTTAATTTGCTCAAATATTCAAAATTTATCAAAAGCGTTTCGTTTATTTGCATTCTCGAAGTTAAAACTATCTGCGTCTAAGAAAACGATCACATCGTGTCTTGATTTTGGATTTTGTTTCATTTTGATTGGTTTTACTTCCTTTGAGATAAATTCAGGATGAATTTTGAAATAAAATTTGTTTCAGAATGTAAATCTGGGATTGACCAACACCTTCTTGAATTACTGAGACAAAATTTGACAACAATTCGCTGTTTCATTACAAAAATTTTTACAGGAGAAAAAATTCAACAAAACCCACACGACCGGTTTTCGAAACATATCGCTTGCAGCGTCATGAAAAAAATTGCAAAGTAGTCAAATGTTGATATTCAAAGTTAGCCGTCAGAAAAAGGATATTACTTGTACATTTAAAAAGAAATCAGATTCGAAACCTTTTAGACAGACTATGATATAAATGAAAAGCGTAAATATATTAATAATTAACTATATTATATGAACTCTCTCAGACACGGGTTAATTACTTCGTTCAAATTTGAAACCCGAGGAAATCACCGCATTTTCGACATAAATGTGATTTGAGATGCTCACATTACGTCGATCAAATATTAGTTGAAACGTGAACTTCGTGATTGCAAGTCGTGAAACTTTGCACAAGTTAATTAAACACAGGACATATCACACTCTGCATTTCTGCGTATTAAGACCCGACATACGGATATGTTTTTCTCCCAAATTAAAACTGACGAGTTTAATTTTTGGCGTAATAGACACGGAGAAGTATATTTATACTAAATTTGAATAATTTATACTTTACGTATAAAATATAAATAGTGTCTTGAAGGATTGTATTAATTTTAACTTCTGTTGTTCTATATATAATAGATCGCCATAAATATTAAAGTACACAAATAAACGTAAAAATACTTACCAGAGTAACTTTTTTGCATCAAGACATCATAACGTGGATTGTAATATACCTCTTCAAATTCGAAACTGTTGTTAAATATTATTAAGTATTGATGCATATCTATTATACAAATTACGACAATAATATTAAATGTCTCTGAAGTATATAAAACGTTTACATACATTGTTAGGTATTAAAAGAACAGTGTATCATCATCAAGAAACACGATAACTTCTTGAGTCATAATCGTAAAAAATACTAAAAGTATATCCTTTCCGCAGTGAAACTGCTAACAGACTCTATATCTTTAAACGTTAAACAAAAACAAAAATTAATTAACTACTTCAGAGGAACTTTTGCTCTCTTTTTTCCAAGCGCAGTCGCAGTTCTGTTAGATAATGATTCACGGTTGGTTTTGAATAGAAGTAGCGTAATGCAGCGATCGTTGATGCGCACCGTCTCGCAGCTTGATGGAAAAGTTTTGATAAGTATACACAAGTTTTGATAAGTATATACAGTATTTTGATAAGAGTATACACAGCCGCATTATTTCAAGAAAAAGAAGAAGTGTAGCCCAGAATTCGATTGGTCGATTCGCAAGCAGCTATCGCGCTGCGTACTCGTATACCTGATATGCTTGAAAATTCGGTCACGGTGAATTTCACGCTTGACCACGAAACAGAAGGCGTGAAGTATCGTCGAAACTCAGAACACGTACGTACACAGCATTGCGAGAAGCTCAGCATAACTTCCGTCTGAACAGAAATCTTGCGAACATAACACGAAACTCGATAACGAACTTCTTATCAAGTTTCCCCTTTTATTTCGTATTTTCCACTTTTCAGATTGATATTTTTGTTTATAACTTTTATTTTTTAGTTCTTTGTAAGGTACATTAATTTTACCCGTATTTTACTGCGTTTTAAAAGAAATCAATACTCGACAGTTTGCATTTACATCATGAGCTCGAAAATCCCGATGTTGCGCTTTTGCGCTCGATCGAGTCGTGAAACCGAGAATTGTGTTTCCAATCTTCACATATGCCATCGTCATTGTTTCAAGTCCACCTGATTATTCATACGATTCGTAACTGGTAGCATTGGTATTGGAATATTGCAACAAATCCTACATATCAAAGCTCACCGAGGCGGTTGGAACAAGTTTTGGAATTTCGCTGTTCGATCGAATCTGTGCGATGCTCGCAAGTCAAATCTGCGTATGTGTGTGTACGTCGCGACAAAATCATAAAATAATATATACATATATATATATATATATCAGGAGATCTCAATCCCTGCATATGCTCATGCTCTGTTTATTATTTATGTATCCGTTGCTTACTGCATAAATACTTTATAGATGAGTGACGTAACTCAATACTAAATCCTCTTTACCATTCAGAAGAGGAACACCCGTAATATCGGATATACGAAAAACGTGTGTAAATTTTATTAATTAATAAAATTAGAAAAATCCTGGGAAAATGAATAAATGAAATTAAAATAAAAACAGAGACATGTTGGTAAAAGTGAATATAATTTCATATAGGCATAAATTTGGCTGCCTCATCAATATTCATAAACTGCACATGTTTTGTAATATTTATATATACATTTGCTTACGCGATTTGATTTTTAAGAAATTTGTGCTGTCATAGTTTGATTGTGATTCAACTACTAATCGTTTTCATTTAATTCTCGTTAAAAAGACGTATATTTAAAGTTAATAATCGTTCAGTGACTTTAACAAAGTAGAAGTGGATTGATCATTATTATAATATCAATGCAAAATAATGGGAGCGCTAAATTAAGAAATCCTGAGAAACTCGTATGTAAATATCGAGAGATTAAGTGTAGGTTTTAAAGTTTTTTAAAATATCAAAAACTCTTTCTATTCTAAAAGACGATTATAATAGCGAATTTATATTTTTTTTTCCGAAAAACATATATTTTCATAAAAATAAAAATTATGATTCTAAAAGCTCAATAAACCCCATCTCTCTCTTAAATATTTTCACGTTCAGAAAAATATCTTATTTTCAATGCACAGGTTTAATAAATGTTTTTCTAACTTAGAAATAATTATATTCTCAAACATTTGATAACATGAGTAAATGAGCATTCAAGCTAGTCTATCCAAAGTTACACTGTTCCCAAAAGTTAATCTTCCATGTCGTCCTAAAGCTTTTGCCCCATATTTGGTGTCACCCTGTATATCGTGAAAGGACGTAACTTTATTTATGTAACATATGTATAAGTAATATATATCTGTCTTTTTCTCCCTTATTCTCTCTTTCCCTCCTCCTCCTCCTCCTCCTCTCCCTCTCTCTCTCTCTCTCTCTCTCTCTCTCTTTCTCTATATATACCGAAATATAAATACATATAATTACACTGCGAGTGTGTACAGCGTGATTCTATGTATCGTCATACAAACGGCGGTTTCAGCTGCTTTTGCTTTGAGCGAAAAAAAATATTGCTATGTTACTTATATCCTACGTTAATACTGTCACGGCGTACTTAATCATCCAGATGGAGACGTATAGTGTGTAATATATGCTCGCATAATAAATACACTTCTAACAACTTTAACCCTCCGCACTCTCCGTGCCCCTTCCTCTCACGCAAATCTCATTATTACCTGCTTTCGCGAACTTAAATTATCTTCGAGGGGTGTAATAGCTCTTGTGAACGCGCGATTATTACATCTCGACATAGAGCCAGCCTGTCTCTAACGAGTCCTTTGGGCGCCGTAAACGTTTGCCGTATGTGATTTGTACAGATTATCTAAATTTCCTGCTAATTTGCGCGATACCGCGCGGTTGATCGACGCGGTGTATTTGCTTTCGCTTCGCAAAGCCTTACTTAGCAATTACTTGAGCTGCTCGTGAGAAAGCGAGAATTCAACTCTACGTTCATGCACGTGTATTCTAGCGCACATGTGTGTTACGCCACGATAGTTCGATATCACAGTGCACGCATTTTCACGCACGTGGACGCGATGAATCATTGCGGCGATACAACGAATACTAACAGACAATTTTCGCTGTCTGATCACGTGTCAATTTTATATATACATGAAGAAGTATTTTTTTCATTTTGCGTGATTAACGAATAATATTTTCAAATATATTGTACATTGATTTGTCTTGTGAATGTCTCATAAATTTGAAAAAAAGTATTAATATTCAAACATTTTATATAGTATACATGCACGCAGAAACTTCGTTAAACAAAAATATTATTTTTATTTCTATTTTTAGTTTAATTACTCTTTTGTAATCTTTATAAATTATTTTCAGAGAACGCATAAAAATATCATGTATGACGTTTATTGGAAATAACGTTTTATCTGTCTTTTCATGTCGCAAACCGTATTTACTAAGTATTTTAAAATGGAAAATGTTTCGTGAGACTCGGCTTTCCTTATTCGCTTGGAAAACGATTGACACGCGACGGAACGCGAAAACCGATAGGCAAATGCAGCTGTTGAGGTTCCAAATACAAGAACAACAGTACCTGTTGCAAGCTTGCCGAGTGCCTACAGTCTCGTTGTTACATCACAAATACGACGATTTACACCGAGTATAACGTTTGCTGTCCCGTGTCTCTTCTTCAGCGGTAGAAGTGGATGAGTTGCACGCTTATATACTGATCAGCTTGCGGAAGGCCTTACGGAATTCGGGGTTGAACACAGTGTATATTACGGGATTCACAAAGCTGTTCATGTAGCCCAACCAGGAAGTAATGATGAAGGCTGGAACACCAGGCTGACAAGCTTTCGTCAGTTTCGTGCAGATTGCATCCATGATGTTGCAAGTGAAGAAGGGCACCCAGCATATTAGAAAGACACCTATGACATTTATGGCGTTGATCAAAATACATCAGTAAATGTACGATTCATTATTATATCATACTTTATAAAAATATAACATCTTTTAACGTTCTTATAATTTCTGACTTATTCAATACAATTTTAATTATAACCATAAATGTATATCTCAATAAATGCTTGTTGTTCTTTCTCTAATAAATGTAATTTAAATATAAAATAATACAAATTCTATATCTAATAAACTCGAGATATATATAAAAGCTTTATATATTTTTAGTGTTATATCGTTCTATTAATATTTTGAATACTTTAAATACTTATCGCATTATGCATATCTAAACATTTTAAACAAAGAAAATAAAAAAAAGAAAATTATTATATACAAACTATATATTTATTTTAATAAAAGTCGGAGAGTTTTAATATACAATAAAGATTAATAATGCAATTTAACTTTTCATCCCTATTCCTCGTTTTCAATTTATAATGCAGTATTTATTGTCGGAAATTATGAAATGCGTGCTAAATTAACTGTTATAATTTTCTACAAAGTAAGTATATTTTAAGCTTCAGCATTTCGCTTAGTTTGCAAAATACATTCTGTTAACAATTTTAATATATTAAGGACTTCAGAAACTTTCAGCATCTATTATTAATTTATCCTTTGATGTTTTATGTATTAGAAATATTTCTTGCAAAGTACAAATTATAATCCATCTAAATCTCTTTCATTCAACCTCACAGTGAATTTTATTTGAAACAGATTTGACAAGCTTTAGAGCTTTTTAATACCGAGATTTTCGTACTGTCTCTCTATAATAATACCTACATTTTTCACGGTATTTCTTCGTATTGATTTCAACGTTTCAATATTCAAGTAGTTTACATTTCGTATAGTAAAAATAGCAGTTTCGTATAGATATTTATTGCCACATATTTATTACTCGCAAGAAATAGTTACAGAGATAAATCGCTTGATCTTATCGAATCGTCATGTTGGACATGTAACTAATCTTCCAATCGTTCGATGTTTTTAAACCAGTACTTGCCTATATTCGCCTAACCATGTTCAGACTTTCACATATATCTATTACAGTACCGTCGTTCTTTCTGATTCTCGCTTCGACTCGCAAGTAAAACCTGTGAGCTCATCAATAATAAACGTAAGACGGAGCGAGCTGAGCTATTTATTAAAGCAACGGTACGCGCCTAACTTACCTAACACGATCGCCAGAGTTTTCGTGGCCTTGCGCTCCTTCTTGGCTGAGCTTTTCTCTCTCTTCTTTTTACTAGCCTTATTGGCCTTGTATATTGTGAACCTCGACCCGGCCGATGCGTTTTTCCGATCCTTTTTGCAGGAGGACGACAGTACGCTAGGTGTCCTCGCGAGCTGCAGCGGCAGGAGCGAGCCAGCGCTCTTCAGCCGCTTCAACTCCTGCTTATTCGCGCCGCCATTGTTACCGTTCCTCTTCGTCTGCGTTGAAGAAGACACGCTGGTTGGACCTCGTGTCGGTGGAGGCGACGATGAGGTCGACGAGGACGGTGGGCCCGACGTAATCCGCGGATTCGGACTCGGGCTTGAATTTGTCTCGAGTGGCTCGTGGATCATCGTGCTACTTGCTGCGACGTCGTACCCGCTGGAGTCCTGCCGTTGTACATGTGGTGTTCCAGTCAGCTGAGCCTGTGCCACCGCGCTAAAACGACAACTGTCATTCGAGTGTCAGAAAATCCCGACGTTTATTCGCTTCGCATTAGAGTTTACAACCCGCATCACCAGTCACTACTAAATCCGATGTCAGGAGTCCAAAATCTCGTAATAGAAACGCAAAAGATACTTAATACAAAAATAAAGATAGCCCTCAAAAATTTTACTCGATATCTTTGTATAAATTATTTCTTTTTTGTTAATATCACGATATTATATTGTTGCAATTCAAAATGATTACGGGCAATATATCTTCAACGATATCATATAATGCAATATTTTTTGCATGTCTGTATCATCATGCGGATAGAAATTTTAAACGGTAGTTATTTTCAAATTTCTTATTATTTATTAATAACTATGGGCTTTATTTTTTTCCCTAGATATTAAATTTTGTACTTAAATTTTTGCGTTCCTATACATTTTGAGATATCAGTTAATATTCTACGAAAAATGATAATATAAAATATTTTTAGGAAAACGTTACGGGGAATTGGATAATATTTATTTAACAGATTAATGTAAATTAAAAAATAGTACTTATTAAAATATTCATGCAAATGACAACAGGTCTTTCAAAGACAAAAAAGACTACAAAAAAAATATTCTAAATAAATATACAACAAGATTTAATTAATTATATATAAAAGAATATCTTTAATCTCTCTCTTTTTTATTATCTATGTTTTATTGGATTTTCATATAAATCATCGTTTAACTGATATTATAAAATAATTATGTAATCATTTTTATATAATTTTAAGATAATAAACCACGTACAACTTACTTTCCACCATAAAGGTCACGTTATATTTGCTCTTTTTCCTTTTGGTATAATTTTTTAGAAGCATAACTAAAAATATGGATGCGATTATTAAGTTCAAGAATGATGATAAATTGTACCCCATGTGCAAAGATTTTTTATAACAACTCGGTGCGAAGTTTCGCGCGTCCTAAAATATGCGGTAGTATTATTTGAGCGCTGAAAATATACAATCCAATTAATAACCGTGAAATGCCCATGTGCATGAAGTTGATTGGCTTATTTTTAAAGGTAACGCGAAGTGCTAAATGCAAATTGTTCGTGGACGCCGGTACAAAGAGGCCACCCTATCACGATTAGCTCGCAAACTTCCGGATTACTATCAGAGCGACGAGTTTCCGTTAAACTAGTATTGTGCACGGGCTTTGAATAGAGTTTTGGACATAGAGAGAGGAAGAGGGGGAGGGAAAAGGAGAGAAGGAGAAAGCATGCTGACTTTCATAATAGCTCCGAATAACATCCACTATAGTCACTGTACTGCAATTATCGAAAGAACGAAGAAAATAATCACGAGATCATAGGCTTTTCGCGATTCAACCTGCGCTCCTATTCACTCTTTTTTCCCCAATCTGCGAATTTTTTCGTTTCGCCTCATCGTCCAACGCGCAAGAACTTTTGAACGTTCAACTTGTCAGCTGTCCCGAATATCGACGTGACTTCCTGTTCGAGTTTTCCGATCGAGCGAAGTTCCAACGTCGCTTTGAATTGTCTTCACCTCTTTATCCATTCGGGACGAATTACTGAAAGGTGTTTTTAAAAAAGGAAAAAACCGATTTATGTCTTTCAAAGGACAAAAAAAAATGAATTGAAGAAAAAAATAATCATTCAAGAAGTTTAAGAAAACGCGTTTTTAATTTCTTCGTGAAAAAACATAAAATTGATTTATAAACAAAAATCAGAGAAAAATTGTTTTTATGTACACGAAAAAAATAATTTCGCTGAAATATTAAAAAATTTAGTTAGGTAGATACAGATATGAAAATAATTTTTTTTTGTTGAACAATCAAAGTAATTATGTAAGAAACTCAAGTATAATGAACAATGCTGCACAGAAAATTTTGATATTCTAATAACCAGTTTGAGTATCCTATACATAATTATTTTAATACAACATTACTTTCAAGTCTAGCTAAATTTTTACTTCAGCAAAACTGTTCTTTCCGTGTACATACATAATATATATTATATAAAACTGAAAAAAAATTTTGTAACTTGATAACATACACACATATTTCGCTATTACAGGCATATTATTATATTACTTTGGATAAACAGGGACAACCTGAAACAATAATCACCTCTTGCTTGAAAAAACACTGCAATTATTCTCACGTTACATGTAATCTGAAGAGGATTCGGAGCAGAGGGGACATAAACTAGCAAACTTTGCGACACGTGAGGCAAAAGTAATATCCTCTTAATTGAGGATTCCCAATTGGCCATTTCAACGGTAGACTAAGACTCTTGATTGACTCCAAGCTTTTCCGTGTTGATTAGAAATCTTCAGCAAGAGTAGGAAAATAATTGTGTAACTCACTACAAAACCTGCACGTTCTTTTATTTGTCCATTTTATTTAACGGATTGCTCTTCCAACCTCTCGTGCAGCTTGAAATTCCATTAAATGAAATTTTACGAATCTCATTTGCTATACGTTAAGTAGAAAATAATAGCATCCAAAAAGTTTGTAGAATCATTTGATGAAATTCTTCTAAATATATATGTAGGTCAAATTATATAAAGAAAATTTAATTTAGCATCAATAAGCCTCTTTTAATCCTCTTTCAATTTCGTATTTCATACTTTTCTCAAATTGCAAGTCGTAACCAAGAAGAACTAAACAGAAAGGCAATCTACTTCGTGTGATAATGATACGGAGAACCTCAGATCAGATCATTTCAAACGGCGCGTAATGAAAAGAACGCGAACATTTCTCTACTTCCCTACTTTACAGGTGAATGGAATATCGTATAATCATCTCATTTGCCTTTCAGACATCCAGGACTTTTTAACTGTTCGTTTTATTTCTCGGAGCTCAGCAAAAGCAGATGGAAAGAGAAGTTGTATCTTGGTAATTCAGTGCCCTTCATCATTCGTATAAGTCATTTTTAAATTAATTCTGACATGCCCATGATGTAAAAATAAAATAAATTTAATTTTATAATTTATTTAATATACTTAAGGATATTTATCATTTAAGTTTTTAATATAGAAACGCCGTTTCTCTTCAATAATATGCATTTTTAATGACTGTAAATAAAAAAGTATATAAAATTTTATATTATTTAAAAATAATTTTGTACGCGCGCGCGAAAATTGATGTATTAATAGCTAAGTTATTGACCCTAATTTTACAATAATTGAGATGGATACTTAATATCGAGCGCAATTTATCTTGAATCAATCATATATTTTACAAAAAAAAACTAACAGATATTCTTTGATCACTCGACTATATATCGAACTGCCATCGCAAGAGATGCACATTTCAAACTAAGCGACGCTAACTATTTGAAAGACGGTAACCATCTCAGAGACAACGCGATGGCTTTTTGCATCGATGATCGCTATGACGAGTCGCGTCGCACAATGTCGTGACAATGCGATTCGATATCGTTGAAAGAAAATTCCGACATCTTCCTTCCGATCGGGATGCGCGAAGACGCAGATGGTGAAGAGGAACGAACGATAAGAAGATATGATGAAATTCTTACGCTGCTTCCTCGACGACCGTGGCTAAAAAGAATTCCGTGCTCTTGTCATTGGAGATGACGACGACGGGATCGAGGGGCGTCTCATCCTCGTCCTCGTTGCTGCCGGAAGCGGTGTTCGTCGGTTCCTCGATCCCAGGTGCCACCAGGGCGGCCGCCCCCAGCGCCGTTTCCGCAAACCTTGCCACAGAATACCCACTACGTGATCTTAGTCAAAAGCCTCTAGAAAAGCCTCTACACCTATCATGCACTTCCTTGTTTATCCGGCATCCCCCAGCGTTAATCCAGCAAGTAGCGTATCTATCATGCACAAAGCGACGACACGCTTTTTGACAGCACCTGCAAGATCCTGAGTGACAGTGCGTCGCTGTTTCCTTTTTATGGCGGAAATCTCAAACGAGTCTTTAATTTGTTACGAAACAGCGATCAAGTCGAAACAAATTTAGTCATTACAAATTTTCCTCTATAATTTTGAATATAATAAATATTATTTTTAAATATATATATATTCCTTATATTTTTGTAGTTAATATTTATAAGTTTTTTTATTATACCAAAATAGAAACATTTAATCATATCATAAGATTGCAAATCTAAGAAAAAGAAAACTATGTAGGAAAGAAGGATCGATAAAGAAAGAGAAAGAGAGAGAGAATGGAAGAGAGTAAGAAAAAGAATGAGTGATTTTGATTAAATGCGCGATGTAAATTAAAGTTTGTTGCACGCTGATTTATCTAAATGTATATTTCCGTTTTGATCGATAACATTCTCAATAATATAATTCTGCAGCCAATGTAACAATTTATATCGAGCATTTCATTTGCATTTAGGGTTACAACGTTTATCGAATATAAATCGTTACGTTAATTTGTACATAACAAGCTTTTAACATGCTAATAAATTCAACCAAATTTGCTAAAAATTTTTTAATCTCTCACACAATATCTAAAATTCGTGAATTTTCTAAAAGTTGAATATTCTCTAAATGGTATTGTCGAAACTTTGGCTGCTTGGATAATGCAGAATTGCGTTACAATGTTTAATTTCCGTGAACTCGCACAAAATTCGTTTTGCATTGCAAAATAATTCATATATTCGGCGAAGGAGACCGCGATTTGAGCTGCCATAAGCTTTATTAACACTCTTATCCGCAAATTGGAAGCTTCGCTGTTAAATTTTGCATTATCGAACTCTTGGAAGTGATAGTGTCCGCGATATATTGCGACAATATATGTAGATACGTTCAATCGCCTGATCAAAGCATGATCCAGCATTTTCTCATGCACATTTTAAATACGTGAAAAAGCGATACATCTAAAACATACATAAATTTTCTGCAAAGAAGAAATGTTCTCACGTAAAAGAAAATTCTCATAGCTAAGAATTTATTTTAAGAAATTATGATGAGTCTTCAATATGCATTAAATTTAAAATATTGTAACATATCTTATTAATCTATTATTAAAATAACAAAAAGTTATAAAATACACACACTCACACATTTTAAGACATATATAATATCTACATTAGAAAACATGTGCAAATGTATTTATTTTTACAATATATTATATTAAACAACAACAATCAAACATTAATGAATATTATATATACGAAAAATAAATTAAGAGACACTTTTATGATAACATTTGTTTTATTATTTCATTTTAAATACGTTTATTTTAATTAAAACTATTTTATAGGTACGTATTCTCTAAACAAAAAAAAACTCTTTTATCGTAACATATATGAAAAAAAAACATCGTTATTGTCATATAAATATAATACATACAATCTCAATTTAGAACAATAATCTATTTTGGCCTTCCATTCTGATTTCATTTTAATCTCAACGCAAGCAATTCCGGCTTTACATGTATTATCACATGGTACAATAATTAATTGCATTAATCATTTGCTAAACCTTAGCTTCCGGATAAGATACGCGTGCCACGGCAACATGATTCGTGCATTAGATTGACAAGATAAATATCAAAATTTCGATGCTCTTGGCTGAACCTTCGCGCGATAACAAAGTCGATAAAGGGACAACGTGGTCAACGTGGGTGCATGTAGGCGGATTAACTGGGACGCCAGATTATGTCGGATACATTGCACTCTAGAGATATCAAAATGCGGATGAACTTCCCAAATTGCGACTGCGACTGTAAACACCTAAGTTTAATTTATCGTTCATCGCCGTCATGCGTCATGTGTTATTATAATATAAATGAGATCTCCGTCAAAGTCAAAAGCAATTATTGATTTATTGAGATGCATTGTCATTGATTCTATAACGAACAAATTGTGTATTAAATGGTATTTTTCGCACTTTTCTAAATTGTATGTGTGTGTATAAGAATAAAATAAAATTCAAAAATAAACAATTATGATACGAATTTAGATTATTGAGAAATCTAATTAAACAAGAGAAATCCTATATTTGATCACAGCGGATCTTATATGCATATCTGATTATATTTCAAGACCAAAAAAGATTTTGACACATGGTTTGCAGAATTAGATATGTTTATAAATTTACACTGAGCTATTTAAGCACTAATTATAAGATATACTTTGATCAAATATAGGATTTCTCTTGAATAAAATTTAAAAATGTTTTTTTAAATACGCAAACAAAAAAATCTGTAGGAGTTTTAAAATCGTCCAATTTTAGAAAAATTAATCAACAAAAAGATATCGAAATTGAAACTCACGAATATAAGTTTGGCTATCTAGATATCAAGTTATAAATGAAATTACATTTTGTATCAACATAACTTATTGCAAATATTCTTTGTTATTTTAAATATTCTTTATTCTAAAAAATTTTATCTCGCGCAGAGGAATATCAATTGAATCTAAGTTAATCAATATTATTAAAATTAATTAACATTCAACTTTCTTTTATACAGTACAGTTCTACCGATACATGTAGTATAAAATACAGTAAAAATCGAGATATTTTTTTACTGTTTAACTTAAACGATACCTTTGTGCAACAACTAGCCTTACTTTTCGGTCACTATTTCCCCGTACGTGCCTTTTCCGCATTCAAGTGCTTAAATACTTAGATTTTCTGCACTCTTCCCTAAGGAAGGTAAACAGGAGTTTGTAGGAAAATTTCGTTTACCTTGGTGGTACTTCCATCGGGTAGACTCAAGTACTTAACGAAGTGCTTTAATATTTTTCGAAAATCTTCTTAGATAGCTAGGGATGTCGGATATTTACGAACGTATAGGTATACGTACTATTGAACTTTACGTGGTTCTGTGTATACATTTCTAAAACAGCGATTCTCTTCTTTTAAATCGAATTCAATAATTATCAACTTCAATTAATTTGTAATTAAGGACATGAATAAAACTTTAATTGAGCAACACTACGTATGCTCGCAACTTTTTAATTCCCGTAATATTAAATATCTTCCCCACTTTAGGCTGAAAATTAAATTGATTTTTCCTTGGAAAAATCAATTTTAATTAATTGAATTATAAGAGTTTCTTATTCACCGTCAGAATTCAATTCGCCATTTTTTAATTCAACGTTAACACAATCATCATTTTTTATAATTAATAGTATAACATTCACAATATAAAAAGGTGATTATATTATTTGAATATTTATGCAAACAAAAAAATTTGTAGAAGTTTTACAATAGCTCAATTTTTAAGAAATTAATAAACAAAGATAAATTAATATTGCCATCATTTTAACTAAAAATGTTAAATTTTTAATTTGCATGTTTAAATTATATGCGTTCAAATTGCATATGTGACGGAAACAGATAGTGTTAAGGTAGAATATTTTATATTTCTTTAAAGCCGTCATCACGATATTCTGCGAGGAAAATAATCCTTACATCAAATTCGAGCTGCGGTAAGGTTATATGCGATTCTGATGCATCGAAAGTAAATGGCAATGCACATAAATAAACACGAATACTATTATCTTGGTTTACGACATTACGTATGGTACATGCGAATTTTATACAGTTGCGATATATGCACTTTGCATAATGTCAATAAAATATCGCGAGAAGCGATATTTTATTACTGGATACATTTTAAACTCTGTACTTAAAATAATCGAGTTATTCTTGTTTCTTGAAACTAAAATAATGTTCATTACTTTATACATATTTATTAATATATAAATACATATTTTCATTTAAATGAAACATATCATTCGTCTATATACTTTAAAAGTAATACAACTCAAAACATTGAGTTTTTTTTAGAAAAAACTATTTTTCAATTTAATAGAAAGTTATTAACGAATCTCTATACATTTTTAGAGCAAATTTTATTTAAAAAAATTTTGAAAGAATCAAATAATAGCAGCAAAAAAAACTGTTGTTTCACAAATTTTAAAATTCATTCTTTTTTTCGAATTTGACAATTTTAATATTCTATAAAATTATAACAAATCCAAAATAATTTAATCAGTTAAAATAACTAAATTTAAAATAAAACAATTTCTTCTTCTCTCATTTTACAATCACAAAAATTTTACATAACTCTAATTTTCTATAGAAAATTCATTTTTATTTACAAAAACTCAAAATACAATATGTTGTTCTTCTAGAAGATATTATAATCTGTTTGAAGACATTAAAAACAATATACATAAATGCTGTTTGGAAAACGGATTCTAAAGTTAAGTTAGTTTACTTTTAATGATTAATCGAGTAATTCTTACTTAATTAATTTTTGGTAATAACTTGAAAATCATCCATATTTCTTAATTATATCACTTTTAAGATAAAAAAACGATATTATATTATAATAATCCAAAATATGCAGAACATTTTCTTTCTTCCTATTCCTTTATTTTCGTTCAAATTTTATTCGACATTCTTATACATATCAATCAAAGACTTTACTTAATTTGCTATCATCTTTCCATTGTAAACGTCAAATATCAATAAAGAATATCTTTCTCGATAATATTCAATTTGTATAAATTTTAACGCGAAGGGACGAACAAGGAAGACGTAACGAGATACATGCTTAATAGAAAGGTACACGAACAAAAAGACTAGCGATTAAGCGGCGTACAAGTAGTTTGCTATTCAAGACGAGACTGCCCTCGTCAGCACGACGGAAATGAAAGCACGTGCGAGGTGGAGGCGTGCGAGAAAAGCGAATTATCCGGGGATGCTCGGGACTTAACCCTCGGCCGCTCCGTATCTCAACTCGCGTTGCGCCAGCTGGCACCAATCTCCACGAGAAATTGTCTCGTTGGAATGCGAACCTTACGCGGTCACGAAAATTGAAAAGAATCGTCGCGCATTGCGCGCGCGACGTGTTCCAAGTGTCGTCAGCCCGTTCTCGCGCTTATCATGCCGACAAACGGCTCGGATAATGTCGTATAAGAGAGCTTATGAATAAATTTTCACCAGCAATATTTTCTCGGAGAACGATTTGTCCGCAGACATGCGAATTATGCAAATCAATCCTGATTAGATCTATTACGAATAATATCGTTTCAACCGCAAGCTGTCTTATACGATTTTGAGATAATTTATATTCGGCAAAATGGTGAAAGATCAACATCTGTTAAACCACTTTTTAATTTCTTAATGTTGCTATAATCTATGTAAAAATTTTTTTTCAAAAATTAATTAAAAGATAAAGATACTCTTATTTTTTAAATTAATACATTATACTGTATAATTGCTCTGAAATTATAGGTAAGTATATTGAAATTTTTGTCAGCAAAACTCAATCAAATTTGAATTCAATTAAAAAAAAATTTATACTTACAAAAGGCTTGTCACAATTGTCCAAAATCAATTATTCATGAAATATGTTGTTAAACACAAAAATCTAAGGAATACATTTTTTTTTAAATCTGTCCAATTTGAAGGGTAAAAAACAATTTTATGACAACAATTGTGTTACATTAAAACAGAACATATTTTAAGTAACACATATAATGAAATATCGTCTACATTAAGATTAAGAAAAGATTCTCTAACAGCCTATTTTTCGGATAAATCTGTTGCGCTCTTAAGAATTTAACAAACAGAGAAAAAGTATAGACAGACAGAAAAAGTTAAAAATTCAAGAATTTATGGCACAAGTTCAGAGACTGAGAATGTAACAGTTCAAGGATGCATAAAAAAGTACAAGTGTATCGTAAAAGATTTACAAGCTGCCGTGTTTAATTTTTCTAAACGTTATATTTGTATCTTGACTGTGTTTTACTTGTATTATTGAAAGTTTGAAAAGATACAAAACATTGAGAAAGTACAAATGTATTTTTTATCCAATTTATCAGTATAAGATATTAGTGCTTCTCTGAACCAAAGTTTAATTCCAGAGCTGAATTAAGATTCCATCCGTCTTATTTTTTTTACGAAATTATATGATTGTAAATATATCAGAGGAAGCTGAAACGATAGTATACAATACACGTGTGTGTGTATGTTGTGTGTGATTGTAATATTTACATGCGTCACATGCGAAACATTAATTTTAGTAAAAGATACAGCATAGTGTCTTTCATTTATCTTGTATATAATAAAAGTAAAAAGTACATTTAAAATGAAAACAACAAGAAGTACATTCGTTTTTCCAAAGATTTAATTACAATTAAAAAGTAATTACAAAATTATTAAGATTAAATTCTCGTTTTTCGATTAAATAAATAATATTTAACCACAAAATCAAATATATGTATGAATAAATTAATTCAAGAATACAAAGAAATAATAAAAATTATATAATTCTTGCTGTAACTTTTACCATATAAAAAGATAGTATTTAATTAGTTAACGAATTATTTACACAGTCGAATACTCACCTACGCGTGTGTGCGATATTCTCGATGATACTCCCCGGTTTTATATCGCCTAAATTCGGTTTTTTAGTAGCACGAGCCCTTTTCGCTCTGTTTCGCAGAGCCTGAAACGGTCAATTGAAAATCTACATTGTGACATAAATCAAACGAGGGGTTGCAAAACTCGAGGCGTAAACGTATATAACATAAATCTTTGCGTGAGATTTCTGTAGATAACACTCGAGACGCGTTATCGAGCACCTATCTACGGATAACGAGATTTATTTCGACAGTTTTACGGAAGGAAATCTCTGTGCTGCTAAAGCATTACAATATTTCACTGTTGACTTATGCCATCGAAAAAGGTTTTGTTTTCTAGTTTAAAAAAAGAAATTACATAATTCTCGATATTTTATTCTCTTGGAAAAAACTTATTTTTCTAGAATTAACAAAAATATTTTCTGTAATATACATAATTATAATCATAATTATAATACAAATAATTATAATCATAAAAAGGATTTAATACAGCTTATATTTTTTACTTTTTGCTACTAATTTAAAATAATCAAGTTTAGAGAGAGAGAGTGTGTGTGAACAAATAAATTATTATCAGAAATCATAAAGTTAAAAGATGAAAAAATAAATTTTAATCATGAGCAAAGAATTTTTTTTACATTTTATTGTGTATCGTGTATGTGAGTGGGTTTAACAAAAAGGGTTATTGAATTTTTTTTAATAAAAAAGAAAAAGGTAGAAGGATGGATGCTGCTACACAAAAATTCCGTTCGTTATTTCTTTTAAATTTCACTAAATTTTTCTTTTGAGTTCTTCGCCTTTCTAAAGTTATATCCTTTGCACTCCAAGTTTTCTACGAAGTTCGAGAGATTTACAACTGACAGTGATGCCGCTCCGGTTTTATGAAGGGTGTAAGCTCATGATATAATATCACACACGAATAATGTGGTAATATCATATTGAAAGTATAAAGGTTATATATCAATATTATTACGGTGTTTCGCGCCGATATTATGCGCGTACAATTACCACAAGTACGAAATTAACAGTCCAATCGAAATACTCTGTACGCTACAAATGTTGAAATTGTCCAACTAGCTGTATTTATGATCCACCGCAATATGATAGAAACCGCTGTATAAACCGCAATGCACTTTGCTCCATCTGCGCCCGAAATTAATCGCATAAAATTTGAATGCAATTTTTATTATGAACGTATCAAACATGAGAAATCCTCGATGGATAAAGTTGATTTTGATAAGCTTGTTTATAGCAAAATTATTCGTCGTAAAGCCACATCACATTATTTAAACATGTGTACGATTTTCAAAATACGTAACATTCATGTGGTCGCATTACAATTTTATGTTGACTATGTATTACGACTGACACGTGTATTTTAATTATTATGGTTGGCTACATCTTTTTTCTATTTTAATTTCACAACGAAATATTAAAGAATTCTGCGCTGTCGGCAACAAAGTCGGATTAATTTTAGCGGTATCACACACAGCGCATACGTGACAATTAAATTAAAAGACAGCAGACTCGCCTTTGCAAGAGTTACCTTTCATAGTACAGCCAATTTCGCGATTGGTTCACGTTTCTGAAGTAATCATAAAGATAAAAGAGGCATGAACAAATTTTTGCCCTTTTGTAATCGAGCTAGAGGTAATTTCCTTTGCGTCTTGTCATACGTGCGTGTGTCAGTTCAGCTACAAAGACTACTATCGATTTCTTTTTGGAGCAGAATCTTTGAAATAAATTTCACTACGCAGTCTTTGAGCAATTGCTATGCAACAGCTACATTACAAAAGCCATATGCTTTGAAATTCGTCGTCACATAATTTCAACGTCGCGAATTTTTTTGTCTAAGATTTTACCTCACTGCACCATTAATCAATTTCTAAAAATATTTAAAATATGGCGACGTCAATCGCAATTTAGAAATATAAGTATTAAATTGCAGATTTTTTATTATTACATCAAAATTTGTTCACGTCGTTCACAATTTGTATGGGCGATGGTAATGACGTTTTATTTAATCTACGTGTTCGTTTAATACGCAATTTCGATTACCCGTATGATCCTATATTTTCCGCTAGCCAGCTTGACCTATTAATACCAGCGTTTCTCAACCGTCAGTGAGAAAACTTAATCTCTCGTTTAGTATATGTACTATATGTGTATACTAAGTTTCATAACAAAAATTTTAAATTAAGTAAAAGATTTTTTTTTAAATTTTATGGTGTAGAATATAAGAACCGATACGTATGTTGATATCGCTCCTTATTTCAAAAATAATAACATAGAAAACGTAATTTTCAAATTATTACCATAAATGAGAGTTAAATAAACATTTTTCTATCATTCATCAAAAGTGGATTAACTTAACTCTTTTTATAAAAAAATCATCAAAATCGTTACAATTCAAAAGGGATGATCTCTTTTTAAATTGTAAAACAAAAATAATAAAAATAATATTTGATCATGTTAAAAATATATTCTTTTCGCCAATATTATTTAATTTAATTAGTCAATAATTTTCTACATAAAATCGAAAAATAGTTTTTCTCCTTTTTTGAGAAACTTAATGTTTTAAGTTGTCATTTTTTTAAGTAAAGTAGTGAAACAATGTATATTGATTGATAAATGAGGTATAGCAAAAACGTAAGTGCCAAAATCGTGAAAAATGTGCCTTATTACAAGACTAGGTAAATGGTAAAATTTGGTCTCAAAAGTATTATCAACAGCAAAAAAATGGATAGTAAAACTCATAATATTCTATCTATTATGTAATTGGCATTTTTATTTATTTATTGGACAATATCTTGAGTTGCACTTTTATGTGGAATTATAGCATTTATAAAAATTTTAACTTTAATACGATATTTTGAACATTAGAAATACCTAATTGTAAATTCTTGCAGAAATTAATTGTTCATACTTTTAATTTTATCATAGTAAGTTTTTTTTAGACTTTTTGAAGTAATTATTTTTCAGAAAATAAGTTTTTCCTTTCTCCTGAAAAATTTAAAAATAGCACTTGCGTTTTACTTTGGCATATTTTAATTAGTTATACTCTACATGCATCAGTCGATTCTTAAGTATACGAAAAAAAATATAGGTTTATATGACGGAGTATTAATATGTATTGCTGCAAAAAAAAATCACATCGATCTCACCTTGAATATATTGTAGTAAAGGAATACCATGATGATGCAGGGTATGTAGAAGCTGGACAGGCTCGAGTAGATGATAAAATCCGTATTGTAGAACAGACATTGGTCCGGTATCCGATCCGGAGTATTATTCAGGCCTAGGACAATCGGGCTGCCGATCGCAGCCGATATCGCCCAGACCAACAGTATCGTCAACCATACTCTTCTATTGTTCTTGTGCTTCGCATACTTTATCGGCTGGGTCACCGCTATGTATCTGCAATTCAAAATCGGTTCGCGTGCGTTGCAATTGCCTCCCGCACGATAGATATTATATCGTCGCAAAATCATCTATGCAGATCCAGCAGCTCTTGTCTCATCCATTCTTCAGAATTTCCATTTCGTATGACATTAACATATGTGTGTGTATTTGTTATTATCATTAAAGCCAATTGTCGCTTTGACAAAATTAATTTCGGAAGAAAGCGGGAATAAATTTTAAAAGTGTGTACATATATTTGCAGAATTGAGAGGTAACTCGTCATTTGTTACAGTTAGAGTTACTTTTTTTCAATAAATATAATTTAATTTTGTTCCTTCTTTCCATCTGTAACTTAACTTACAATTAGTTACATTTCTTGGTAACTATTGTACATAAATACTTAATGTAATAGTACTTTAGGATTTACATTTATTCAACATATGAGCACATCAAAATAAAGTATTCAATGAACAATACACCCAAGCTGAATAAAGCTTAGCACTAAATAAAGCACACTTTTAAATTTATTACTTAAAATCACCTGGAATTCTATTATAGAATTCACTATTTTGAAAATATAAATAAAAATTAATTCTTTAACAATTTGATAAAAAACACGCTTTTATTGTTCGTAAAAATCTGTAACTGATTATATAAATTTCTTACGAAAGAATGAAAAGGTCATGATATTTTCAAGCCATTGTAATCCCAAGAATTTCCAAAGTTTGGAAGAGACGCTATAGAATAATTTTAAAGCTCATAGTTTCTTCGCCAAACTCTTTCAAAATGTTTTTAGTTTTTGGTATTTCTGTAACAATTTATCGTTACAATTATTTCAGATAGAATACTGTTTCAAAATTGTTCCAAACTTGAGCATTAATGTGTTTTTTGTTGCAATTTAACTAACAACAATTTGTTTTTGTACAGCCGAGTGTAAAGACGAAACAGCACTGATATGTACGATCCGTTGTCGTATGTATCATCGAGCACCCTTTAGCCTTCTGTTTATCCTTTCTGTCATCAATTAACTATTGTACATTACAAAACTATTCCTAATTATATCATTTTCGAATAAAGAAAGCAATGGAAAAATGCAATAAAGAAATTGTCGTATTTTCAATCTAACACAAAATTAAATAAACAAAGTAAATATGATTCAAAATGTAATTTATATGCACGTTTTCAATTTACGTATTTTTTGGCACACTTAAACAAAAATGGTAACTTGTAATTTAAATTTTAAAGGAATATTGTTCAACAAATATACAGTATTAATGCTCCTAAGAATTATACCAAAAATTATATACAAAAAAATAATTGTATTATTATTAAACTTTATCAATACTATATAAATATTAACAAATCTCTCGAATTGCCCTTTGTTTTATCCTTTTATTGTTTATTAATACTCTATTACATAATATTTCAATTTTGTAATTTTTTTCCCTTAAAAAGAATATAGTGAAAAATTATACAATAAGATAAACAACTTAAATCTATGTAATAACTGTTTTTTAAAATAGATTTTATACCTAACTATTTGCGATGTAAGCCTTTATTTATTTAAAAAAATCATACTCGGCAAATTTAAACGTAACGGTATATCTAATTTTCCTATCAACGAGATGCATTCCGAACATAAATGCGATCTTTATTTGCATTTTATTCGAGGCACGTAAACCAGTAAAATCAGCCTCTCTTTTTCCTGATTTCCAAACTTTCTCGGTAATGATCATGGCTCTTTTACGACCATGGCGAAAGCACATGTCTTGATCGTTAATGTCTTCCACTATCGGAATTTAAGGAAAAAACGTGGAAGATCGTAACGCATCTCTATTTCTACGTTAATTTGATTTACATGCGAAACATTTATCAAGTTTTAGAAATTTATTTGGTAACAATATGTCACGTTTATAGTATTTTATACTTTATAAAGAATATAAAATAAGGCCCAATAAGTATAAACAATATGAGTAATAATAAGGGCAATGAGCCAAATACTAAACGCAAGAAAAATTTTTCAAATTAAGTATAATATAAAATTTAAACGACGTTTCGACTCCGATCGGGTCATCTTCAGTGTAACAAACATAAATAAATTATAAAATTTCGGTGTCGCTAATCAATAGATAATGTCAGGAAATTGTTCGCATCTTGAAATTGTAGTCCATCATGTAAAAGTTAATCCAATACAGTAAATTCAATCTAATAGAATTTATATAATTTGTCATAAGAATCTTAAATAACATGTTAAACAAGTGTTAAAAGATAGTTACCTTATTAAAAATTGTGTAATAACTAATGTCAATAATGTAAAATTCCATGATGTGAAAAATGCAATGTCGTCAATGATAAGTTGGTTTTTGCCTCTTTTAAAGAATTTATTTCTTCATTGCGTTTCTTGACATTAACATAAGAAGTCGATAAAGCTGTAAATTGGATTAATTTGAATTGTTATAACATTTTATCATTGACGACATTGCATTTTTCACATCATGGAATTTTACATTATTGACATTAGTTATTACACAATTTTTAATAAGGTAACTATCGTTTAAATTTTATATTATACTTAATTTGAAAAATTTTTCTTGCGTTTAGTATTTGGCTCATTGCCCTTATTATTACTCATATTACTTTATAAAGACTTTTAAACTTTATATAAGGAATAAAAATTGGAGTATTATAATAATATACTATGATTCGTTCTTATAATCAATACTGAAAAATTTCGATAAGCTATAATCTTTATTATAAATACAAAATATTTAGAGGAATGTGAGTTATCTCAAGAGAGTTTCCAAGTGGTATCTTCAGATTGGTATTTTCATTCTTGTGTAAGCGAAGGAAGAATGTTTACCTGTCTATCGAAATAGCCACGAGATTGAATATAGAGCTGGTGCTGCAAGTCACATCCATTGCGATATAAAAATCACAAACAAACCCGGGTAAACTCCAGGAACCATTCACCTGTAAAGATAAAAAAAACTTTATTAATTTCAAAGAAAGATCACTAATTATTATTAATTGTATTTATCTTATATTATATAACACATTGCAAGACTGTATTTTTGTTACTTGCCATTAAACAAATTATGTAACATTACGTATAACCTTATATTAATATAAATATCACAGAATTTTATTTCTCTCTTACAAATATTACTAATTTAAAAAAACCCTCAACTCTAGTCGTTTGAAAGCATATTTTACATATATAATAATTGTAAGATATTTGTATTCTCCGCCACAGTGCATTTAAAATGTCTTTTAATATAAATGCTAATACGGAAATTCAATTATGAAATCAAGAAAATTAAAGGTACATACAATTAGATGCAGATAAGCGTAAATATTAAGTCTAAAAAATTAATTTAATTAAATATTAACATTCACTTATTACTATTTTTATTCTGCGATTGAAGATAATTTAAAATAAAGCTCAAAATATTTTGTTACAAAAATGGACTTATTTTAAAACTAGCATCTCGTATTTGCTTGTTATCTTTGTGTATTTTAGGGATATTAAAGAAGTCTTTCGATTTTGTAAAATTTTATATTGACAAATCATTACTCTATTAATATTGAATAATAAAAGTCTCCATACATGTTTATTAATTTCAAAAATTTTTTAATGTCATTTAATGCTGTTGTATTACTTTTTATATTAACATTAAAATAATTTCATAAATTATATATAAATATTTGAAATAATTTGTAATAATAAACATAAACGAGAGCAAATGTATTAAATAACAAAAGCAGGTTTTTCAATTTAGCAATATAACTGTAGTTTAGTTCAATGTCAGTAATTAATCATCGATCTTACAACCGATTTCACGTTCGTGTGTTTTTCGAAAATTTCTCATCCCACTTATCTTTCCTCACAGATGAAAATAACGTTGCTCGAAAATCACGCGCGCACCGAAACGATCATATGTCACAGAGCGATTTTGCGCATCGCTGGACAAGCATTGTATGCATGGCTGCCAACAAATTTTGAACAAGGGCTACATGCATTTTTCAAGCGGACTACAGTTCGCCATATTCCGATTACATCGTGCGTTAGTGCAGTATATGTGATGCGTTTTATCGTCATGGCCTATATTACGACGTCGATTATTTATTTCGATTTCTCCGTGCGCAGCGCCTCACAAAATGTATCTCGCCCGATAAGATTGGCTCGTATTTCCGTATGAAGTTTTCTCATATTTATTGCACACATTCGCGGTAGAATATGTATTAAATATACCGCAAGAGCAAACTCCTAGTATCAAAGTATCGGTAGATTAAACAAAGTTCATATTTGCTTGGTATTTAATAATTAATTTAATAATTAATATAGAAATAAATCGTGAAGATTTAAAATTAAACGTAGTTTATTAATATAAAAATAAAAATAGTTTTGTGGCTTTAACAATAAATCAAATGCAAGTAAAATGCCAATATATTAAGTCTCCGCGGGTGTTAACAATCTTAGTGCGTAAACAATCTTAGAATGCAAAATATAATTTGATATATTTTATTGTAATTGTTGCATCAGTTTTATTAAAATTAGTTTCCAAAAATACGTCACTATGAAACATCGTGTATGTGTAAATACAAAAATGATATATAGGATGCGTTCGAGAGGAGATACTATTAGCGTTATTTGTGTCATTCTATGTTCATCGTTTATTAGACGTAAAATAAGGATAGATGACACGAATAGTGCTGACAGTGCGCTCCTTGAATGCAGCCAAGGTATACTTTATTATTGAAGATTTTATTAAAATAATAAGATATTGCACGTTATTCGTGTTTACTGAAAAGACAAGTTATTCAAGAGAGAACGTAAAATAGGAATTATTATTTAAACATTTTAGTCAATAAATCGAAAAATAAGCGCTTTACGCCTCCTTTTCGACATTCTATCTGCATTTTCTCTACCAGTCGCTCTGCACTTTTTATCCATTCAGGAAAGCACACCTACTCGCTGGCCCTCGTGGATTCTCTACAACGGAAGCCAGAAGAGCCTTGATTTATTTGCAACGTTCGTGTCTCGAGTGCGAAATATCCTGCGGCCGAAACCCGTTTGAAACACTCGGTCACATTTCCGTCTCCACGCTCATCCCTGCAGGACTGTTTTCATCCTGTGAAACGTTTGTGTGAGTAGCTGCAGATAATAAGATATTTCTAGCAAGACATGATTACTTCACCGATTTCCACACAATTTACCATGTATTGATTTACTGCGCTCTCAGTTCGACTGTATATATTTTCCATCGAATTTTCCAATGTGTACCAATCTTAACAAAATAGTTAAAACTTTAATGAAGAGCTTGTCTGAGAATTTAAAATTCAATTGAAACTCTGAAATGCGCGTTGACTGTGTCTACATCTTCATATGCGAATTCTCCGTTATTCCTTTGATAAATCCACTATTGTTGGGTGCACTGGAAGATTGTTTCATCCTTCCCGACTACGTTATCGCACGTACGAGAATCGACGAATTCACGCTACAGGCACGTGCGGGAAAATTTATTTATATTGTTGCGATCCCACACAGCTGAATTGGCACAACAAAAATTTGTATAACTACACGAAAATACAAATGTGTTCGTCTTTTTTTATAAGTTATTTTTCTATAAATGTATATATTTTAGCTATTCAATATGTTTCTTACGTTTCCTGAATTACATTTATTATAGTTATTCGAGTCACATATACTGCAAAATATACATATTTATTATATTTAATATGATTAGCGTAAAACTTGAATCCTTAATTACGTTTACAAGCGCAGCGTTTGAGAGTCCATATACGTGATCATATCGCGGTTGCTACACGTGTTTCAACATACTTCGCGGAAGAATATATAAACGCAAATATAAAAGATAAAAACCCAAGTTCAAAGCGGAAGAGCAGAGAGATTTAATTCAGACCGTTTAAATATGTGCAATCTGTACACGTAATGTCGCCCGTTGTATTCTTTCTCGAGTAAAGGGGGCAGAAAAATGATATGAGTGCGTTGTGCTTCCGCAGTATACACGGAGCGGGAAATTTTCACTTCTGTAACTCTTGGTTATATATGCGGCGCAGGATGTGCTCCACGGGTAAACACACGCATATGTGAATACAGAATAATATTCCACGGCTATATAGGCGTACGCGATGCGGCGGTATGCATTAGTACAGGGTCTAATATAGATATTCCCACGTGCCATAATACAGGCATGAATCGCAGTTATTGCGATGTTTCAAACTGCTTGTTAGCTGCATTCTCGTCGTTTTCCTAAAAAAAAAAACTCGTATCATCTAATTGCGCATACATTTTATGAAGCTACTAACTTCATCTTTTCCCAACAGATCGACAACGCATTTATTAATTTCAACATTTATTGGTGTTCCTATATTAAATAGAAATATTAAAATGATAAACCTTTTATGTCACATGTTGTATCTTTATAAATTTAATATCAACCATTTTAATAGATATTTTATTATTTGACTCTATATATTAATTATTTACACACAAATGCTTTACAAACAAAGTAAAAGAGAGACAAAGACGGAGGAGAGTGCGTGTGTGTATTTATTTATAAACTAAAAATTATAAAATATAAAAATACAGACACGATCTATTCATAGCAACATTTAATCAGTAATAACCCGTAATATTTATTACACACAAAAAAAACTTTCATTCTAATTTAACATATTATACGACAGTAAATTTAACAGCTTTATTATTTATAGCTATACGTAAATTATTATTAATATTGTGTTGATATTTGCATTTACATTATTATTTAGATGTATTTAATAATTTACACACACACACTTTCATATTTTTACTATTCTTCATAACGTCCCTTGTATTGTCTATTTTAAAGAATTGCGAAATCAAGAAAATTAACAAATCATCATAAATAAATTAACAATTCGTAATAATCAAATAAATCAATGTATATTATATAGTGAGACTTGTACAGCACATTTAACTCACATAATTTCTTAAGTGTCGCTGTCAATTAATCGTCAGTAATCGTTAATTATTGGCAATCTGCGTTGCACTGTCTTGAATTAAAAACTAGCGCAAACTAAGTTTCCGATAACGTTCGCGGCAGCGGCGTACAGCGAAGTAATTATTACCGCCCCTCGTAACTTCCCTTGTTACACGCCCTATCAGAGCGTTACGCCAGTTTATATATATACCGGCTTTCGCAAGTAAAAGCGCACGTACACACACGTCTCCGTCTAAGATCAGAGAGTTCCCGCTGTGTTTTTAGCGAATGCGTTCGATTCCGATTACGATCGGATTCATAATTGGGCTATAACCAGGGCCCACATGATAAGCGATGTTTACGGGCAAATGAAACCTGCGTTATGAGCGTGTCGGAGTTTCAATGACGAAAGAGCCGACCGCATGCAATGCGTATGTGGCACGCGAATTGCGCACGGTGAAACGTATCGTGTTTCCACTTTCCATGATTAATTATTTAATTGCCCACGTAATTTCAAATTATTGTGAAAATTATTTCTGTACTAACAGAACTCGAACATTTACCTTTAATATAAATCTTAATTATTTAATCGATTGATTTATAATAACAAATATTTAACGGATTTATATATGTTTTCGTATTAATAATTATATTTATTACAATTAGAATTGCCTTACAGGAATAATTTTAAAATCAAATTCATTAATTTAAATTCAACAATTCAGTTTATGCGCTAATATGTTGGTAAAAATAGATTGATAAACGTAATTTAAAATATTCGTTGCTTATTACACGCAAGCTGCTTTCCGCCAATACTTTATTAGAGGATGTTGTTATTAATTCTAACAACAATAAATTCAATTAAATAAAAAATATTGTATTATAAAAAAGGGTTACCAATATAAATAAATATTTTTTCGATAATTGAAAATA